TTGCCACCAGGCCAACTCCATATGCATAATCCTTCTTCACCAACCTCATCAGTAAGAATCTTTAGTAATAACAAACCACCATCATCCACCATCTGACCAATAGCTGATGCATGCACAGAATCTTGGTTAGTACTCCGACCATAACAGTCTGCATCTCCAATGAATAGAACACCTTGATGATAACATTTTTGTATGAAATCCTGAATTATGGTCTCAAAGTACTTTTTATTGTTAGAATGATCAACCAATGCTGAAACGATATCCATCGCAAAGATTTGAAAATCTGTCTCTCCAGCCAAACAGTTGAGCATGACACTCCAAACTCCTGGAGCCAGTTTCACTGTCAGTCCCATAGGTTGAAGGCCCTTGGCCGTCCTTAGTGTTGCATGTCCTTCCGCCTTCAACCCCTCCCTTAAATTAGGCTTCTCACTTAAAAGATCATACAGAACTTTATCTTGAAGAAAATCCTCAATATCCAGACCCAAAGAGCTCAGCCTGATCATTTCTTTGATATATGTCCTCTCTAAAACCACCCACAGATCAGCACCCTTGTGTTCATTGAAAGGATCAAGGATGAATCCAACACTGCTTGAGAACAGAATAAGCAACTGTGGTATAATACCAACAACCTTATGGAAGTCCCTCAATCCTAACTTTAAAATATCACCATCATCAATACTGATCCTCCCTCTTTCCAGTTCCACAAGCCTGAAGAAAGCATCAAGTATGCTAGATTTCCCTTCCTCATTTTTGTTAGCTTCACCTTTCTCTTTAACTGTACAAGGTTGAACATTTACTTCAGCTTCCCTTCCTTTAACCCTTTTGGGCTTTAAAGATAAATTCATGAGTTGTTCCCTCTTGGAGATATCAATTCCAGCAATCTGAATAGTAGGGTCCAGATCCACACTGATTCTACTCAACAGGTAATCTTCACCCAATAAAGCAGGTCCAGGAAGTTTGATACTATAAATGATCTGATCTAGTTTTTGATCTGGTTCAGATGGATCAACAGATTTTGGCACGGCTTTCACTAGAGTCGAATAATAAATTTTATCACCTGTCCTTTTTGACTTATCTGCGCTTGTGACCTCCTCCTCATGCGCTTTAGGTTCTGACAATCTCAACTTAATGTTCATTGTCGGCGATGAAGTTCCTGGTGATCCATTTTCGGATTCAGCTTGGTCTAGGGTTCTGAAAACTGATGAGGCTTGCGCATGGTGAGGAACGGCTAGCGTCGACGAACTGTGACATGCGGCCAGAGACGACAATTTTGAACTGGTCGTTGATGATAGGTGAGGAGCGGCTACTGACGGCGAAGAGTCTGACGAACACGAAGAAACCTGCGCACGCGAGGATGCCTGCGAACTAAGCAAAGCAGTTCGCGATTGCGAAGTAGGAAGAGCAACGAACGAAGACACCAGATTATTTTCTAGGAGGGCTCCTCGCTCTGTCTCTATGGCGCTTGATTCTGTGAAGAATTTTGCCCAACTTATGGCGCATCACCTTAGCCCAATCACTTTCAACCTTTTCCGCCATCTTCTCTTCTTTTCCGCGCGAAGTATCCTGATCGGATCTTCCATACTCCCTGCACAGTTCTTTTCCGCCATGAGTAGACACATGCTCCTCAGTGTTCGCGCGCAAACCAGAGGCGATCACTTTCCGTTCTGTCCTTCGATATTCCTTGCGCTGCTCCATTTTTTTATCGCGTGACTTAGATCGAAGCTTCCCAGGACATCTGCTCTGATACCATTGATAGGAACTCTAATTTTATAACAGTAAACTGATTGTAAAACAGTAGAAAGGAAGATGATGATACAAGCGAGGCGCTTCGAGAGGCCTCAACTCTCCCAGATCCCAATTTCCCAATTCTAAAATCTGCCTGCCTATTCTAGGCCCCTCACTCCTATTTATTCTTTTCCATATGGGCCAGCCTAGTTCTATTAAATTCAGGGCCTAAACCCCTTTTATTCTACAACATTAAAAGACCACTATTATTCTTATTTTTAGTACTATCTAGGTCTCTATCATATTTCTTCGTCGTCCATTAGTACCCTTTGATCGACATCCTTCACACACTTAACTTTTCCGATATCTTGAGTCCTACGGTCACGAAGGCGAGCAAGTCTGTATATATCTTTTTCTCCTTCCTTAGAGTCCAACTTTACGTACAATTCTTTGTTCACTTTTCCTCTGACTTCCTTCACAGCTTTCTTTGCTCTTCTTCTAGCCTCTTTGTACTCCTCTATGTTCTCGTCGCTCCAACTTTTGCCCAATTTCTTATAACATTCCCTTTTGGTCCTTATTGCTTGTTTCACCTCATCATTCCACCAAGACGTGTCCTTTTTTGGTGGTAGACATCCTTTAGATTCTCCGAGTATCTCCTTCGCCACTTTGTTAATGGTGGATTCCATTGATAACCACACATCATCCACATGTGCGTCATTATCAATAGACCCATACATCTTTCTCCAACATTTTGTGTGCAAAACTTTGTTGGAGATTCCCTTCGAGCCTCCACCATTTTATTTTTGACTCCCCTTGTACCTTAACTTGTCTCCTCGTTTTACCTCGAAAATCAAGCACAAGCATCCTATGGTGAGTGACAACACTCTCACCTGGGATAACCTTACAATCAACGTAGCTAGTTCTCCAAGTCGTTCGTACTAAAAAGTAGTCAATTTGGGTACTATTAGCTCCACTTCTATAGGTGACAAGGTGAGAGTCTCTTTTCTTGAACCAAGTGTTCATCACAGCCAACTCATATGTCGAGGCAAAATCCAGAATGTTCTTCCCCGCTTCATTTCTAGTGCCAAAACCATGTCCGCCATGGATACTCTCAAAACCATCACGACTAGGGCCCACATGCCCATTGAGGTCGCCTCCTATGACCAGCTTCTCTCCCCTTGGCACTCGTCGCATCACTTCCTCAAGATCCTCCCAAAATTGTTGAGTGATAGATGCATCGAATCCCACTTATGGTGCATAGGCATTTACCACAGACAAGATCTCATCCCCTATTATCAATTTAATGCACATGATGCGATCGTTCTTCTTAAAGACTTCCACCACACCGTCAACATAATCATGTGCCATCATAATGCCTACTCCATTTCTGTTCCTCTCTCTCCCCGAGTACCAAAGCTTAAAACCTCCGGGATTAATCTCACGTGCCTTTTCTCCAACCCACTTAGTTTCCTGCATGCACATTATGCTGATATTCCTCCTCTTCATAACCTCAGCTATCTCGGATGATCTTCCCGTAAGAGAGCCAACATTCCATGTCCCAAAACGCAATCTAACACCCTGCCTTCTCTTTTTCACCCCACATTGACCCCACCATGCCCTTGCATATTTGACATCATCCTCGGGCATTGGAGTGGCGCGTCGCTTCCGGGAGACGACCTAACAACCTTAGCATTCCTATCATCACACCCAGGTCTATGAAGTGTAGCGCGCCCTTGCTCATTTGACACCACTCCCAGGCGGAGGAATGACGCGCCACTTACGAGCGACGACCTAGCTGTAGCGATATTCATATTTCGATTCATGTCATGCGATGTGACTAAGTGATACTGTTGGCCGTCACGCGCCTACCACAACACCGTCCTCCTTTATCCTGGCTTGAGACAGTCATGATACCAAAAAAATGATCTCATGGCGGAGTTATGATTGATAGATACATAATCTTAAATTTATCATTTTATTACTTTTGAAGTAGATTAAACTTATTCAATTTATAAGACTTTTTTAAGCTTGAAAAGCATTGGGGAAAAATGGTATGGAACTACATATATGTTGGAGAAATAGTTTGATTGAATTAACTTTGGTGTGGGATGAATTTAATCTTATATGTCTAGTTGTATACTTGAAGAGTAATATAATTAAGTATTCAAGCAAATTTAATAATATTAATCATATTTAATTCCCTTTGAAATCTGTGATGCAAAACCAAACAAAAAAAATCATTTTTTAACCAGGGAGGCAAACCACCTAAATCGGTGGGGCAAATGCCGGGGAACATTTGCCAGATTTTATTAAAATAAGGAAGAGGAAAGCAAAACAATAGAAATGGGGGGGGGGGGGGGGGGGGCTATACGTGACCCAATTTTTGGGGTTGTCCCAAAAATATGAACACTTTCTTAAATTGGACTCCAGCAACGTTTTATTTTCCTACTTTATCCATGCATCTATCATTTCACCCTTAACTTTTTGTGGAATGATTTTTCTTTTTCTTACTTTTTTTCCTACTTCAACAAAAAAATCATTTCCTACTATTTATTTTTCTTTCCTAAGCATTATCCAAACATGTAGTAAAAGAATGATTTTGGAAAATTAATCATCTCACTACAATACTATCTCCTTCTCATAATGTGAGATGCATATGAGCTTGGTGCGGGTTTTAAGAAAATAAATGATAAAGTGGTTGTTTTACAATTTTAACATCCAAAAAGTAAGAAAGAAAAAATTGTTCCACAAAAAGTAAAGGGTGAAATGATAAATGAATGGATAAAGTAGGAAAGTAAAAAATTATTGGAGTCCAATTTAAGAAAGTGTTCATATTTTTGGGACAATCCAAAAAGAAAGTGTATCTTACAAAATGGGACAGAGGAGTATATCTTTAGATATTGATACATTGTTTTCTTTTAGTTGTCCTAAGGTCTCAAATAATTCAAAATAACCACCAATTTTAATAAAATGTATTTCTGTATTTTTTACGTTTTCGTTCTGGCCCGCCCCCCTCTCTAGGTAAATTCTGGCCCTGTCCCTTCATATTTGTTTGGGGGTGTATGTACACACTTTTTTGTAGATTGGTATCACTTAATTTAGCTTGTTTATCAAGGGTGAGCATAGTTAGTTCATATCTTTGGAACAAACTATATGATGCACCTGTTTGCTTATTGCATACTTCTACTTTTGGAACATAACTGTTTATTATGCCTTCTTAGCGCCTTTAGTTTTCTCAATACAAACTAACAAGGTGTCTTCTCAACGTGACTAAGGCATGCGTGCCGGACTACCAAAATATGTTCCCGTGAACTTGAAAGACATAGAAGCTGCTGGATTTCATGAAGGAGAAGAGGTGTCACTGGAATCGTTGAAAGAGAAGGGCATTATAAACCCATCAGGAAGAGAAAGGAGATTACCCCTAAAGGTAATTTACAAGTTTATTTATTTATTTATTTATTTATTTTTGTGCATTAAATATTTGGGAGAAAAGACCGCCTGAGGAGTGAGACATTCATACAAAAGATGGGAGTCACAGTAGTCTCACCTATTGAAGATAAGACGCAAAAGTCTCAATTGTGGTGGTTTGGTCATGTGCGCAGAAGATCGAGTAGTGCACCCGTTAGATGAGTTGAGAGGTGGGGAGAAGAGGCAAGAAGGAGAAGGAGAGGAAACCCCAAACAGACGTGGACTATAGGAGTCAGGAGTGATATGCTTCTTCTTGGGTTGGATGAGAGTCTGACTTTTATCTGATCATTCTTATCTTTATCTTATCTTATCTTATTTATCTTTTTTTTATCTTTTTATCTTACCTTATCTTTTAGCTCTAATTTTATGTGTGGATTCATGTTAGCTGAGCCCAAACTCTTTTGGGACTAAGCTTGGATGTTGTTGTTGTATTAAATATCTGAAAATCTTTTGAGTTTTGAAGGATTTAAGTCTAGATTGTGGGAGCAAAAGTAAGAAAAGCAACTAGGAGATGATGGATATATATAAGGGAGATTTCCCAAAATAGGAGTAAACGGAGTTTGGAATTCCAAAATAGGACTACTATGTTTTTATTCCGGGAAATTACCCAAAATAGGAGTAAATGAGGTTTGTAATTCCAAAATAGGACTACTATGTTTTTCTTCCCGAAATAGGAGTTGTCATTGCCATGAAAAATACTGCCATAATTGAAAAATACTGTCATTAATTACAATTAATATTGTCACGTTAAATGCACTGTACTGAAATCATTTGGCAGTCGCGTCTACAAGATGAAAGTAAATACTGCCATGTTAGTCCTATTTCGGGAATAAAAATATAGTAGTCCTATTTTGGAATTCCAAACTCTATTTACTCCTATTTTGGGAAATCTCCCTTTTCTTCTCGAAATAGGACTCACATGACAGTATTTATTGCAATCTTGTAGGCGTGACTGCCAAATAGTTTTAGTACAATGCATTTAACATGGCAGTATTTATTATAATCATGACAGTATTTTTCAATTATGACAGTATTTTTCATACATGATAGTAACAACTCTTATTTCGGGAAGAAAAATATAGTAGTCCTATTTTGGAATTTCAAACCTCATTTACTCCTATTAAGGGCAATTTCTCTATATATAATCAAATATTCTGTTACCTGACTTAGCAGGAAACCGTGTTATGTGATATGGTAGGATGTGAGTTCTATAGTAGCTGACTAGCTGTGCTATACTTCAGCACCATCCCTGTAGGACTAAGATCTGCAAATACCCCACCCTCTTCAGACCCTACTTTTGTGTGAGATATATTGAGCATGTTTGATTGGGTTACTATCCTTGAAGCTGAAATATCTGATGGTTCTTCCGTAATTTCGTTGCACTAGAAATTATTTTCCTTTTCTTTTCTCGCTAGTTCCTTCTCTTACTTTGTCCAAGCTATTTCCATGGGAATGGTTTATTCCTCTTATGTTCCTATCAATCAAAATGAGGGATTTGAATGTTTCTACCTTACATCATCTCATGGATAAGTACTTAAGTTAAAATATTTATCTATAATGAATCTGGAAAAGGGTTAACTAAGCCCTCCCCCACTCCCAGAATCTTTGTGATGTTCTGACTTCTAATGAGAGTATGAGACACGTGCACAGTGCTGTCAATCCCTGATAACGGAGTGGCATTCATATTTTATAATGTATGCTAGTATATATAAACATAACATCTCAGAAATGTTAGAAACTACTATGATTTTGTGACATTCATAATGAACCATAAGAAGTCATGGATGTCTTAAAGTCATGGATGTCTTAAAATAAACATCAAATGATAACCCTCAGAAGTCATGGTATAAAAGCCACTTATGCTTATCCATAGAGAGGAGGATGTTATTAATAGTGAGAACAGCGTTGAGGTAGAGGCAATCAGTACTTCTGAAATAGTGGTAATTGGTCATAACTCGTTACAAAGAGATAAAGCAAACACCTTTTTTCTTCATTTTTCTAATGCTAATGTAGTATTTCATAAGCTCAGTGAGTGCTCCATGTTTGCGTGCAAGTTGTGTTTGTTCTGCTGTAAAATCTCCTCATACATTCCTTACTTCCAGATATTGGGCGATGGTGAGCTGGGCGTGAAGCTAATGTTTAAAGCCCGAGCATTTTCAGAATCTGCAAAGCAGAAGCTGGAGGCAGCCGGTTGTTCATTGACGGTTTTACCAGGACGAAAGAAGTGGGTAAAGCCATCGGTTGCTAAGAACCTTGCCAGAGCAGTAGAATATTTTGCCAAGAAAAGAGCAGGTGCTCAGTCAGTGGAGGACTCCTCTGCTGCCTGATGTAGCATGCCTGACCCAATGTAGTTCCTTCTCTTCATTTTGTAAATCAATACTTGGAAAAAAGGATGTTGATGCTATATTAACACGATTTACTATCTTGTAATTAATCAAAGGATGTTGATGCTATATTCTATGGTACCCATAAGGTACCATACCTTTGTCCACATGGACCAATGAAAGTGTTTCAGTTGAATTATTTAATTCTAAATTAAAAATGATATACCTATTTGGACCAATCAAATGAATGGTAGGTATGGTACCCCATTTTTTTAAATGGGTACCGGAGTTGTCACCATCAAATACCTTCTTTGATTTGTGCTTCCACTATGGATGCATACTGTTTTTTTATTCTATATATGCTATAGTGTTGGTCATCAACACGATCCTATGGCGACCATCTAAATTTTATTAATCCATTGTTTTCTGGTTCCCTTAGAAAATCTTAATAGCATAAACTAATAGGGAAATTTACCCAATTAGGACTAATTAACAATCAAATTGCAAAATTAGGAGTCAAAATTAACCATGTGTTGCGTAGGACTAAAAAGTAACTGAAGTTCCAAAAATAACCTCTAGCCATGTAAGGAACGGGAAACTATCGTTTTTGTTTTCCGTTTGGAAACTAGGCATGGACTTGGGCCGGACCTCGGGTCGGGCCTGACCGGGCTTTGTTTTGGTTTCTTGAGGCCCGAAACTGGCTCGGGTAGCTACCGGTACGGGTCGGGCGGTTGACCCGTTTTTTTTTATTTTCTAATTACTTCCTACCCCCATCCACCCCACCCACCCAAACCCCTCCAAAACACCCAACACAACCCATTTACCTCCCAAAGAATGTGAAAAAAATGGGCTGGTTTGGGCCGGTTCACTTTCTGGAGACCCGGAGCCCGACCTGAAAACTGGCGGTTCGGGCAAAATACACCTGGCCCGGGTACCGGGTTACGGGCCGGTTGACCCGCCCCGAGTGCACCCTTATTGGAAACTGACACAGAACTCGAGCGCGCCAGAAATTGGTTTCCAAAGCCTCAAGGTATTCAAAATTAAACAAACAGATATGAATGCATAGAGAAAGCCCCAAGCTCGCGAAAAACTCTTCCGACGACGAAGTGGAACTAAAGACAACGTCGAGTTTTGTTCGAAGGTTGAATGAAGATGGAAGACTCTGATTTCCAAAATGAAATGGAAGACTCTGTTTTTGAATCGGACACGAGGAGTTCATTACATATCAGAATCAATTCTAAAACGGTATGTATGAGATGAAGATGTAACATTCGAAAACACATATGAATGCCATATATATACGATGATACCTATTTGTTTCATTTAAATGGATTGACATGCAATGTTTTGTATATGCATTTCATAAAATGCAAGTTCACTTAATCATTCAGGAATACAAATGCCAAATTTCAGAATTTGTCATATAGATTTATAAGGTTAATGTTATATTGATAAGTGAATGCCACTTGCCTGCATTATATGATGGAATGCCAATGCCATATGTAAATGTATTTGGAAGATAGTTTTTGTTAGGTTAATGTTAAATTGAGAAGGATGAAATCTGATATGAGCATTGTGTAGTGAATGATGATATTTGAGTGTTTACGTGATATTTGAGTGTACATGGAAAATTGTTGTGATATTTTTAATTTTTTGGCATACAATGTATTTGGATTATAAGTGAATGCCACTTGTTGGGATTATATGAAGGAATACTGTAAGTTTGGGAGAATAGAATTGATTAATTCATTCCATCACTCGGTTACAATATATATAGAATACAAGTCTAACAGTCTAACTGATAAGATCCTAAAAAATAGGATCTGACTACCTAACTATACTTATCTAATACGTGTGAGTAAATACATCAGATAAGGCTAAGTATTTTATCTACAACTAATCCGACTGTACATTTTTACAACGAATGCCATATGTAAATGTATTTGTCATATAGATTTTGTTAGATTAATGTTAAATTGAGAAGGATGGAATCTAATGTGAGCATTGTGTAGTGCATGATGATATTTGAGAGTGTTAAAGTGATATGTACACGGCAAATTGTTGCGATATTTTTAATTTTTTGGCATACAATGTATTTGGATTATAAGCGAATGCCACTTGCTTGGATTATATGAAGGAATACAAATGCCATATGTAAATGTATTTGTCATATAGATTTTGTTAGGTTGCTGTTAAATTGAGAAGGATGGAATCTGATATGAGCATTGTGTAGTGAATGGTGATATTTGAGAGTGTTCAAGTGATATGTACATGGCATATTGTGATGATACTTTTATTTTTTTGGCATACAATGTATTTGGATTATAAGTGAATGCCACTTGCTTGGATTATATGAAGGAATACGAATGTCACAAGTAAATGTATTTGCCATATAGATTTTGTGAGGTTGATTTTAAATTAAGAAGGATGGAATCTGATATGAGCATTGTGTAGTGAATGATGATATTTGAGAGTGTTCAAGTGATATGTACATGGCAAATTGTTGTGATATTTTTAGAGCCCGTTTGGTAGCACGAAAATCGGCTGTTTTGGCTGATTCTCCTGAAATTTATGAAGTTCTGGCTGAAGTGGCTGCATTGGCTGATTCTGTTGATACAAGAAAAAAATATTTTTAAAATATATTTTATTAATAAAATAAAGAAAAAATTATATGTAAAATAGCTAAAATGATCATCTATAGTAACTTCAGTCAATACAACCAGAAAGTAACTCCAACCTTACTTTTTCGGCTTATTACACAATTCAGCGCGCGAAAGCAAAATTTACGTGTTTGGTAAAAAAGTTGGCTGATAAGCCTGATAAGCCGAAAATGAGGGTTGCCAAACGGCCTCTTAATTTTTTGGCATACAATGTATTTGGATTATAAGTAATGCCACTTGCCTGGATTATATGAAGGAATACGAATGTCATATGTAAATGTATTTGTTATATAGATTTTGTTAGGTTGATGTTAAATTGAGAAGGATGGAATCTGATATGAGCATTGTGTAGTGAATGATAATATTTGAGAGTGTTCAAGTGATATGTACATGGCATATTGTTATGATATTTTTAATTTTTTGGCATACAATGTATTTGGATTATAAGTGAATGTCACTTGTCTGGATTATATGATGGAATACGAATGCCATATGTAAATGTATTTGGAAGATAGATTTTGTTAGGTTGATGTTAAACAGAGAAGTATGGAAACTGATATGAGCATTGTGTTGTCAATTTGGAAGTTATATGAAAGCTTTTTGGGTGCTATGGAACATTTGTAATTTTTAAGTAACAAAATGACATACTGATGGCATTCTGTGGTACTTTTTAGACAAGTCTTTCACAACTATGTATTAATGATAAATTAATAGACAATGATAAGGTTCTTCATGAGGAATATTGTGGCTAAACTAGATGATATGCATGTCAATTCATTCTGCAACCTTCACAAAGTGATGGAAAGAATAAAGCAAATTTTAACCAAAGAGGAAATAGATGATTTCATAACAACTGTGTTTGGGTGGCTGTGTGATTTTGATAATATCAAATACGTTAGTGGACAATTGCAGCTTGCCTTTGTAGCTAACTATGTCAGATATGTCAATGGGTTGGTTGACAAGAACGCAATGAGATTTCATATACACAAAAGTGTAGTAAGTTTCACAAAATAGGATCAAATGATTACAAAAGCAGTAATCAAGGAACAATGAGGTTTGAATAATTACAAGAATGATATTCTACCGGTACTAAATAATTACAAAAGCAGTAATCAAGGAACAATGAGGTTTGATGGGGTCAAGTTAGCACTCTTGTATGTGCTTTCGCATGGGTTCTTAGGAAATCAAACAACTGGACCAATGGAAGCTTACTACTTGAATCTGGTTGATAACTTAGAGGACTTTAAAGCTTGCTCATGGGGAGATGTTGTGTGGAATGAGTTGTGAAGTTATATGAAACAAAGTAGTGGAGCATTGGAAAACTGCACAGATGCAAGAGTTACATTCCATGGGTGCATGATTGCACTACAAGTGTGTGCATTTGAAACCTTTCCAAGTCTGTCAAAAGCCGGTTTATGCAAACTCATAGAAGAAACAGAAGATATAATGCCAAGGACACTTAAGTGGGAGTTCCATAAGAAATCTTCATTGGAAGTTTTTTGTGAGCTTATCTTCTATAATGAGAAGGTATATGAATTTATGATATATGCTTATTAAATTTTATATGAATATACATATCTTACTAATTGTTTTTTTGACAGTTTGAATGGACAGAAATTGTTCCAATGGAGCAGGAGCTTGCACTGATCCAAGAAGCCAACACAAGAGATGGACAAAATTTACCAGATGATAACATATATGGTGGTAGAGTGGAGACTGAGAAAGGTGTGCAAAGAAAGAATGGAAATGGTGTTCCAAAGGCACAAAAACCAGTAAAAAGAGGAGGAAGAAATAAGCCAAAAAGGCTAACAAAATTAGTGGGAAGTGGGAGAGGAAACAAAGAAATTGCTGAGCAAGGAACTTCTCAAACAAGAAAGAAAGGTGCAAAAGAAAAGAAGACTGATGAAGATAGTGATTATAAGGAAGAGGAAACTGAGGAGAACAAGGATGATAGTGATGTTGAAGCAGGAGGGACTAAAATGATGAGAGCAATGAGGAAGCAGACATCAAGAACTGCAAAAGTAATGAACGATGTGAAAGAAATAAAGAAAGCTCTCAAAAAGCAAGCAGTGGTGCTAGCTAAAATTCTTCGGATTGTGAATGATCTGTCAGCATATGTAGTGAATAAGCAAGAAGGAGGAATGGTAGGACGGTTGGAGAATGTGGTAGAAGAGGAAAATATACCACACAAAAATCAGAGAGAGGAGGAATGCTAGAAAAATGAGGGAAATGACCTAAGTACAACAAACATTGAGAAGAATAAGGAGACTAAAAATAGCGAAGATGAAAAGAGTGAGACAGAAAACATGAATGCAAGTGAGGAGCTGAATGCAGGGGGAATGTTGATGAGATAAAGGGCGACATGCCTAATTTTAACATATTTGGATTTGAATCTCAAAAAGAAGGTCAAGAAGGAAATCAAGAAAAGCAGAGGGGTGAAAAGGATATAGAAGATGATACTGAGAAGGAAGAGCATGAAGAAGAGAACGAAACAGAAGACTGCAATAAGGAAGAAGAGCAGAGAGGAGAAAAAGAACAAGAGCCAAGTACTGAGATAGAAGAGCGGGTGGAAGAAA